CCTGAAGGAACAAATGGAGTATGAACCTGTTGTTGATCACCGGCTACCATGGGACTGCATATCCTAACGTTGCTGCACTGCACTGTGGATTAGACTTTTAGGTTAAAGGCTGCGAGTGTGGTCTCCTAAAGAAACCACGTGCTTCGGTTTGAGCACCCGGGCAGTACCACAGCCCTCACACAAGTCAATGATAACTACTACTGGCCTCACTGTTACTGTGTGGCGCATACGTATTTGGTGCCCCCTTGTACCAATGCTTATGTGTTCAAATAAATAAATAATACTATTCAGAGGAAGAAAAACTGTTTCATTTCCAAAACAATGATAATTGGGGTTCAATCATATTTATTAGTATCCAGAGTGATAATATTAGTTATAAATAAATACATCAAAATATTAAACGAAATCTAATTATCAGTAATGCTGATTGTGTGAATCTAGCAACTAATAGTTCTACTACTACTACTACCAATAATAATAATGTATATTTTATTATATTTGTTATAAGGAACGACGACTAAGTAAGGCACATACTAATCGACCTAACTCTCTAGATGTTAGGGAAACCAGATTATTGAGTCATCCCCATTTCACCAATCCAACTAAGGTGAAAGGACAGAAAGTATGAACAATAAAATGTATTATTCAGTGGTTTAAAGCAACGCTTGTATACGAAATATCAGTAAAATGGGTTCATGTTCTGCAATTATAGATCCTTAATTATTGTTACAATAAATCAAGTATGAAAGTACTGCACAACTGTTCTGCTTAAAGTAGTCAGTGTTATAATTTTGTAGTGGTGGATTCTAGATCAATTGAGTTATATACGCTAACAAATTGCATCACTAATAAAATTAAAGGGGCCATAAAGGAAAAAACTTATCGAAAACGGTTGTGTACTATAATATCCTTTGTCTTTTTACTAGTTTATGAGTATTATCAAATTGCAAAATAAGTTATTAATGAAAGGGAGGTATAAATCACTGAGTTGCACACTTTTAGATTGTAGTTATTAAGCTTATCGCTTTGATATACTTCTAACGCTGTCTACTGATTTTGTAATCCATACTATTTTTATTAATGGCTTTAAGACCTGATCATGGTGGTCAGACTTGCTTATCATGATGACTGAATATCTCATATTTAGTCTGTTGGTTTTTAACCCAATAGTTTCAGCAAACGTTTTTTAGTTTTTCCCATTCTTACTGGCTCTCCTTCGGATTTTCATTTGATGTTTGGTAGTGAACAGATTAAGTGAATTTGAGAGTGGTTAAATGATACTCAAATGATTCTTAGGAAGTGACTTCTAGGTATTTTCAAAATATATGGGTCTTCATATTTATATAGTCTTATAAATTATGTCATCAACAGACAGTTTTTCCATATTTTACAACGTCTGAATATTTTCATTATCAACTTCACTATGTTAAAACTAATACCTAAAACAGAATGATACGTCAACTTTCAGAAACTAATTGTGAACGGTTCAAGTTTTAGTTTACATTTATTGGATGAAACTTTATGAGGACACAAATGAAAATTTTATATCATACTTTCTTCCACAGTATTCACATATATTCCTTATGTATACCATACTGGGGAAACAAGTGTTTTATTTTATCACCGAGGACTTCGGTTCCTATCATTTTACGTTTGTGAATATCTTTGTCTGACCAATAACTAACCCCTGTTGTTCTCTTCTAATCTTGACCACTATTCGGATAACCTGTAGTTGTACAAAACGATATGAATACAGAAGTGTGTGGTTTTCGTAGTTCCATACGGTTCCATTAGATAATGCACACATCAGTAGCAGTTGTTATATTTTGCGAATAATTTTATATCAATAGATTAAGTTACAAAGGACAACAGGACATTTAATGATGACTTCTTATATTTTTGGATTCTTTTGCAGCACCATGCTATAGGAACATTTAACTTTCTGAATTCAGAAAGACGATATGTAGCTGCAGCCGTCATTCCTCCACGTCGTCTTGATGTATATGATGAAGCTGATGAAAAAGCCACGCATTTACTATTGGACAGAGAGAGTCAACAATCAGACGAAATACCTCTACTGAGTCCAACCAGCACGAAATTGTTGAAATCCAGTGATTCTAAAGGAGATATTATTGTTTCGCGTTCACCTTTGCTAGGTTGTAACCCACCATCCTCCACGTCATTGCCTTCTGGAAGTAAAGAAAAAACATGAACTTAGCACTTCAATGTTTGTATATATGTGATTAGACATTAACACGTGTTTCTACCCTGTTGTTCACTATAGTGCATAATAAACAACTAGATAGCATAACTCTGTTCTTAACGTTATATGAGCAAATACTTATTTTGTTTGTTTCTTTACTTTGTTAAGATGAGTTCTTTTTTTAAAAAAAGAAACTCATATAAAGAGATACTGAGATGAATTTTTCTGGTGACTATTTCACAGTTTTAGACTCCACCAAACAAACATTTTGAAGTTAAAAATGGATACTTCTGTTTCACTTAGATCAATAGCCTAGGAATATTAGTTCCACTTATTATGTTATATGTTGAAACTTATTCCGTTTACCTGGAATCAAGCACCTGGATATATATCACTGGCCTGTACACAATGAGTGTAAACCAGAATCCAGGATAAAAGCCCATGGAGTTTTTCATTATCGAGTTTTGAAGATTGTTGAATGTCATTGAAGTTGTTGAAATTACACCCTACTTCATTCACGTCACTTTTGGGGTATTGAATAGATGTGAGCTTACCTGCAGTAGTTTTTCAGAGTAATAAAATAAATAGGAAACTTCAACTATTCAACAGTTCCCATGTTGTTAAAAGTGTATAATAACAGGAAATATTTATCATAGGTTCCGATTTAAAAAGTCAGGAATGAATAAGAATTAAAGTCACAACATGAGATGATGGTTTTAAGTTGTCGTAAGTCACTTGACGTGTAAATTTATTGAGCAATGAATTTTAATCATAAGAGAAAAGGAACGTGTTTACCACAAAGGCTGAATATGATGAGTTTAATTCCAGGAGGTGTAGCTTGTACAATGCTAAAGAATTTCAAGGCAAAATGAAGCAGAACTTCCATGTTTACCGTTACTCGAGTGTCTTCAGATGGTTCACTGTTGGATTGCAACCACCAAGTTGTTTTTCTAATACTACCAGTTTTGCATAAATATTTTAATATAGATAAACTGATCACGATTAATTCAGTGTGTGCACCAGGCGATTTGACAGGGACAGATGACGAGCCATATATTTGAATTACTTAATAGAATTGTTTGAAAGACAGTGTATTTGATAACGGTTATCAAACATATTACTGTTGACAAACTCAGTTAAATAGTTTCGTTGTTCATGTGGGTAAGTTGGATCTCCACATAAAGTAATTATTCTTTCAAGACGTTGCATAGAAAAAATTGTTCATTTTGTCAAAAATAGGCTGTAAGAGTATTCTTATATTTTTTTTCTTTGCAGTTGTTAACTAGTAATCATTACTTCGTTGTAAGTACTTTAATTGAATAGTTTTAAACACATTGAATTTCTTCATCGCTTTATTTCATAGAACTTTACTTTAGTCCACTCATTTTGCAAATGCTATATCTCACCTTTAGTTAATTTATCGTCGTTGGTTACTATGTATGCCTGACAGACTCTTGCATAATCATAGGAACGGGGGATGTTCTTGTTGTATACTTCGTTTTTTATTAATCTCAACATATTCATAGTTCTATATAGACTGATTGCGTAAATGATATGATTGTGTCTAGAAGAAACAGAAACTATCTTTCACTGCTTTATGAACAAATAGGGGGATGGTTTTACCTACACCTTTTAACATCCACTTCTATTTCACACTCTGAAAACTTATTACTTCACTGATGTGCTCATTTATTAGGAAGTTTACCCTCTATTGGCCTTTAAATATTGTTCATACAGTAAATGCCTTAACCTGGATTTCTTTAACTTGGTTTGTTTATCATATTAGGGTTTCTGCGATTCATTAAATCGCACTTAGTGTATTGGAGCTTGTACTTTAAAGAAAAGTGAGCTATTAGGTAATTGTTTAGAAATTGTAATAGCTTTTCCTTTAAGTACGTGTTCGTAACGTTGTCCAGAAGAACAATTAGAGATTCACAACCAATTTAATTAACTCAGATGTCACAACAATTCCAACATCCTCAATCTGAGCTGCAAATATTCTCCATCATATTAAGATACTTGGTGTGTGTATGTGGATTTTATCTCGCACAGTTACTATAGTACTTGCTCATGTTTTTGACATATGGACGGAATTAATTTAGAATACCAGTTTCATTTCAGATATATTAGTATTTTAGGAAACCAATGGTGTGTGTGTCTAACTTCAAGCACTTCGTAGTATTGCACAATCATCTGTTGCCTACGTGAGATAAATGTTCCACACCCGACAGGGTTTCTCACTAGAACTCCCGCAATCGCACTTGAAAGTTAACCACCAGTGAGCACAGTGTTGGATATCAGCCAAGTGATCTAGAGGTTGAGCGTTCGTGCGCGCAACGGAATGTCCTGGACTCGACCTCCTTTTGATGACATCGTGGACGTACATTGGTGAGTCCAATATTAAGAAAATGCCACCGCTCAGTGCTTCCTGGTTCCTAATGGTAGTCATATTAAAATCTTTCTGGACATATTGCTAATATTCTGCCAACTTTATTACCTTCTCACCTTATCTGATTCTAAATTTCTATGGAAATGATGACATGATAATTGATCAGGTGTATAGTGTGATCAAATTGTAGATGTATTTTGTTTTGCGAATCCAAAGTTTATAATTTGTACAATTTTCTCACAAAAGATGCTTCCAATTTCGTTTTGAAACAAAGCGAAGAATCAATGAAAATGAAACAAAGTGACGATATATCCAGTTACACGGAAATTATATGTTTTTTTATTTTATTGAGAATAAAATTTTTTATTTGTTCATGCTTTACTTAACCACTGATTAATTGCCCTTCTAGTTATTCAACAGGATTTGTAATGTCGTTTCATTACGACGGATTGCATTTACTGGTTGTAATTTTCCGTCAAAATTTGCTGGGAAAACTAATGAATGTCTGGCATCATTTTCAACTGAAATCACCAATGAACGTAAAGAGAATGATGCCAGTTCACCATGGGAATTAGACAAACCTAAACGTATTTGGTCCCATCAGTTACCCGTTCCTATCGAAGCTGTCACACCACCTTTTTCAACAACTGTAGCTGCTACTTCGAAGGCGCCACTGATAAAAGACTTTTTCAGAGGCCAAGTCAATCTGGTACTTTTGATTGGTCCACGTATTATTATTATTACTATTGTTATTATTATTATTATTGTTATTATTATTACTATTATTATTATTATTATTATTATTATTATTATTATTATTATTATTATTATTATTACTGACAATTGCATTGGTGGAATTCAGAAGTGATGGTATTTTTTGCACCTAATAGAATACGCATAACACACTATTTGAATCATAGTCCAAAAGGTCGATCCGTTGTATCATTACTGTACGTTAAACTAATGCACTGAGTATGATGATCATATGAACATCTTTAAACCCATTTGGACGTTTCGATTTCATATTTATTACAAATGGACTCGTCTCTACATGGTTGCATTGTAGAATCTTCTTCTACAGTATTGGCATAATTCTATCAGACTAAACCACTTAATACTTGTATGGGTTTCGACATTACATATATAACCCCCCATCACTGTCCAGTACTTGAAATATCGACTTTTGCTACCTTTGAAGTTGAGACTTGTGTCTTGCAATGTAACATTTAACGGTTTCATTGTCGGTTATTCCAAGTTTTAATTATTTCTCAAGTAACAACACACTATGTAGATTAATTTATTATCTAGCGATGTTATGAAAGTGTGATTTTATATATTAGGAAAATGATACATTTCACTAATCATTCAGTTGTGCTCTGTAATGACTGTTCAGGATTTCTACGCCAAAGAGTAAAGATTGGTTTCAGTTCTCTAAAATTCTGTCAATTCGAAGGTTTGTGTGGAAAATTGTTTTCATCGATTTAATGTTTTTCAAATCTTACTTTTTATTCAGTACATTTCATCTATTTCAAGATATGTTCTTCGTAACTTTCTGCAATACAGAAATTCTTTAGATGATTAAAAAAAAAATCAATAAAGTGGCTTTACTTGGCGATACTATGGTTTTTTTTAAAACTGAATTAGTCCCATATTTGAACGAAGTCAATTATATGAAACGCAACCTTAAGCGTGAACTTATAAGTAGCACCTTATCCTGATAATTTGGAATTCTTAAACAATCCATTCGATTTAATATCCAAAGTGTTAGAAATCTGTTTCATACAATTTCTGTAGAAAATGTGAAGTCTCAAAGATGTACGCTTGTCATTAATGATTTGTAAACACTAACCTTAAGAACTCCTACAGTCTAACCACCTTTTGGCAGTCAAATAAATGAAGCTCATATGAATCAATCATGAATTTTTTATTATATGGTGACTGGTTCTCATCATAGTTTAATATCTGCAGAAATACCATTAGGTATTTAAAAATATATAACAATAATTTACTCCTATTCTGGGTTTGTTTGGATCCTTTCAAAATTCGGAATTAGAACTTAGATGCATCAATCAAGGCTTCGTACTGTTGATGTAATCACCACTAGGAAATATCTCTGGGAATCTGGAAAAAATATTTTTTTACAGAATACAGGACTGCTTTTCTTGTATTAGCAACTAATAAACTGATAACTTTTCTTTTATTTACAGGAATTGTTCGAATTCCTAGAATTACAAACTAGACGTGAAGTAGATGATTTAGATGCTATGCACAATCAAATCAAGAGATTCGTACTCAAAAGTATGTGCTTTTTTCCCAGTGGTTTGTTGTTTGATATTAAAGTTAAATGGTGCAATCAATTTTTAAAAGGTATGTTTTGACTAATATACATTTTATCCTCCTAGATGAAAACAGATTCACTTAATATATAGTCATGCGTCAGTCTGAGTCTTGCAGGCGTTGTAGATTTTCTAATCGGGGTCCATGGTATTATTGTAGTCAGTGATCAGATACTAAGAATATTTGTTTAACCATGACAGTATATTAAGTCTTGACAAACGCTGTGGAAGGTGAAGATCAGCTTTTAACAAATTAAATATGATCACTTTTGTTTAAACTGTTTCAAACCTGATTAATCAACTGGAATTTCGGTGATATAACCCATCCAAATATATGTTCACCTTGTTGACTGTTCCTTTTCTGTCAACTGTATAGAATTTTTCTGACAGACTGCAAGCACAACAGTGTATATCCTGATTCTTCTCAGTTCTTACCTTGTACTTTAGTCAGACAACATAGGCATTTAATTATGAACTAAAATCCAATTCGAAAATCCACATTCTTTCAAAACCAATACTATTGTACACTTGGAAGCTAGCTATCGAATTTTTATATTCTGAGAGGATGAATCATACTAGTGGCGTAGAGCAGACGGTTAAAACGTCCTGGTTGCCTACAATATGACGAATGTTTCTTTCTAAGGAATTCTAAAAAAATTGTACTACTAGCATTGCATCTTACTAACCCTATCTGTGGCATTCAAAATCCGTGGAAAATCAGCCGTTTATAGTATTTTGAAGGTGACCGTTTAGTAATCCAACTTTCCACCTGTTGAAGAACAATAGTATGCTTTTGCTGTTGAACGGGAACCTCAGCGTTTTCGTTGATTGAACTGGCGTTCGAGGATCTCAAAATATAGGTGTTTCACCCAATGTATGTCGACGGTTTCATCACAACAAGCAAGCTCGATCACCGCGTCATATCAACAGGTATTATCTAGAAGTTACCGATCAAAGCAGAGAATTTCAACCACTCAGTTACATTTTTTTCATTATCTTGTTATCAGATCACTAGAGTAATGTAACCAACAATATACTTCTAGTCTAATTAGATCGTGTGTTGCAATGCTATTCCACGTCACTCGACAAAGTAGAGTTGTTTTTATCTTACATGCAGTACACATAAATAGCATCCTTTTATGTAATAGCAAATGTTTATTCAGTGTACGTATGTCGTTCAGGATTATGTGATGGTTCAATATACTAAATATCTGGAAAGAAGCAGATATGATGACTACAAGGCTGTATATTACCCAAACATGCCTACTAAATCAAATAATTTTCGGTTTGATTTTAGTAAACAATGTTGTAAACACTTTTGTTGGATTAATACGATTGTTTTTTTCAAATGTTATCGTTTTTATTGCATACTACTATCTTATTTAATATTTATATCTATATTAACAAAAAAATTTATATATATATATATCTATATATCTATATCTATATCTATCTATCTATCTATCTATCTATCTATCTATCTATCTATCTATATATATATATATATATATATATATATATATATATATATATATAAATTTTTTTGTTAATTTTCTAGTGGATAGTTACGAGATTGATCGAAACTGTAGTCTGTCGAAAGAAATGATACATAATCTGAATGAGCTTGGTCTACTTGCTTTATGTATTGACAAAGAATATGATGGTCTTGGTTTCAATACAACTCAATGGATGAGAGCTTGCGAAGCAATCGGTTTAGATGGATCTGTATGGACTACATTAACTGCACACCAGTCATTAACTGCTAAAGTTTGTAATTCTGCTGAATATTTAAATATTAACTGATCATTTCATAAATTTTAGAAAACTTGTTTTTTTCGAGACTTTTGAAGTATTTATAAAGAAACCTATGTAATTAAACTAATGTTTAGTGAAATGAGCACAGAAAATTTCTTACTCTATATTGCTGTTCATCAATGAGAAATTATATGAATAATGCTAAGATAAAGTGTGGATCCAGGATAAAATCATTTATTGTTTACGTCGTCTGACTTTGAATACATTCATAAATGGGATCAGCTGAAAATATGATTAAACAGTTCTATACATTTTTCAGATTAGTGAGTTGATTAGCTATAATGTGTCACATTTAATTACCAACCAATATTTACATAGTTTTACTATACAGTTGCATTATTGATTGGTCTAAACTTGAACATTAGAATGGAATATTCATGTTCGTATTTCTATCTGTTCATTATGTTGAGGATTACTAATGAACTTGTGATATTTAGATCTAAAGTTCCATTAAATCAATCTCTAGTCGTTTAGTTAGTACAGTGACGGTTTAATCTTGATCTCTATAATCTGGTAACGGTATTTTCTGATCATTCAAACGTCAATAGATTAAATAGAACAAAGATTTGTTCTGTACTGACGTTAAAAGTCAAGTAATATAAACCAGTAAGCCATAAGTCTAATCTTATATTTATAAAAATAAGTGGGACGATGTGATCATTGTGTTATTTTATAAACATAACTGTCACTAAACCAATAGATCCCTCTTGTTTTAAAAAATAATAATGATAATAAATATATTTTTTGTGTTATCTCAACGATGAGTAACAAGTTGCATTTCTGAAGCTTTTTTTACTCTGGAGAAGTGGCTTGCATCAAGTCACAAAACGTCAAAAATACAATTTTTACCTATTGCAATATCACAAAAATATATGTTTATTCTTAAATTTATACTGAATGTTCGATTTATTTAAAACTATCAAGTTTAACCTTGGTATCGATTCATACAAATGGTAATAATGCTTGATGGTCCATGATAGTGATCAGACAAGTCATATGTATTAATCGGGTTAAATCTACATTTCGAATGGGCACATTATTATTATTACTTTCATTATTTTTAATGAATTTATTGTTAATCAATATGAACTTAAAAAAACAAAAGTCACATATTGCCTGTTCTATATTTTTTTGAATGCTTTGTATATGATTTGTACAATAAAAACAGTATTTTACTTTATTGATTAATGTATTCATTTTTAGAATATTTGTTTGTTCGAGTAGAGTAATCCCTTTGTAATTAATTTGTGATGCTCCTTTGATAACCAAATACATGTTTGTTTATTGTTTTTAAATGATAGTGTTTGTTTGAGAAAAGTAATGATGCTGTCTGACCATTTAAAACTGACTCGAACTTTTTTATAATTACTTAAAACATAAATGGAGTTAATCATTAGTGATGTTCAGTTGAATGCGTTTTGTAGAAGTCGGTTCACTTTGCAGGTTGTACTCGTTATAGATTGATCCCAGTTGGGATACCGTTGGGGACCAGGAAACCCCAAACAGCTGTTTTGTTTTAGTATTGGACTACTCAGCAGTTCTCACACACGACCTTATCAGGGATATATCTCAAGATCTGGTCTCTGTGAACATTCAATCATTATAACTGCTGTTTGGGTTCGATTTCAACTTTAATCAATTTGGGATGTAGCGTGACAAACATAAAATGTTATTAGTGACAATTGTTTCACTTTCAACTTATTTAAACTTCACCAGTCACAACTTGAAACCCGAACTTCAGACCCACCGCAAACTAAGTGTTTGACACAATGTTTCTAATGGTCAGATGTTCTCTGAGAGACTGAGGGATCCTGAGTTCAATCTTTGGTGGATCATGAATACGCACTACTGAGCAGTCCCGTACTAGAACGAAACATTTATCCAATCCTTCCAGGTTTCGAATGATCCCCCGATCGGGATCAATCTGTGACGAATACAGCGTACATATTAATCATTTTACTAATTTTGTGGTATTACATTTTGTTCTAGACGATATCTTTACTCGGAACAAAGGAACAAAAGGCGTATTATTTGCCGAAATTAGCATCTGGTGAATTTATTGGTGGTTTTTGTTTATCTGAAATTAGCAGGTTCGTTTTTAATTTTGTTCCTTTTTTTGATAGTTTAATTAATTTTAATATTTTCTCAATTGAATTTGTTAAACATTTTATATGTTTCAAGGATAGTTATATTATTCAGGGTGTTATTTATTTAGTATATCGAATGCAAGATACTAAACACGTTTGTCAAACAGTGATCATTTTATTATATTTTATCCACACTAGGGATTAAACGTTTATTAAATTACGAAATGTATTGTAGTCACTAGACCAGATCATTTACTCAAGCACTCTCATAAATTTCCGTCTTCGTATATTGTTTAAGGTTACCAAACAATTAACTTGTCAAAACTGTCCCAAATCTAACTAAGCTATTTCGAAACCTCACATGAAGCTTTAGATATTTACATTCTAAATGCGAAGCAAATCTGACTAGGACCTTGAAATACCTTATTACTTATTTATGTGCTATTTTTAAGGTACGTATTCAATATCATCAGTTAGTACAAATGGATTATTCATTTATTAATTCGAAATGAGTTTTATGTACTTTCAGCTGTGATTTATGAAGCAGTTGCATTCGGTTTTGCCTGTTTTGGAATTATGCTTACAAACTAATTTACTTTGGTATTCAGAAGGTTCCCATCACTGAAAAAACTTCATCCTTAGTAGTTTTTCTATCGGCATAAAATTTTCATGAAAATCATAATTATTTATTTTTTAAAATATTTGTCACTGAATTTTTGTTGTCTCTTTCTTTAGTGGTAATGATATTCAAGCGCTGACTAGTTTAGCAGTTGTAAATGAAGCCGATGATCACTATATACTTAATGGTCATAAAACTTGGGTGACCAATGGTGCAGTGGCAGATGTTTTCGTTGTATTCGCTCGAACTCTCTCTAGTAATGTATGTAGTAATTCTTTTTTGACAATTACTAAATTCGGAAAAATTTGAATTGTAAACTAAAGGGTTGAAAAACTACAAAAATGTTTTTTTACTTTGGTTTCAAACTTTACAATATTCTACATTCTTAACTATTATCTTAGCTAAAACCAAATACCATATCAGGTCTTGTGATAAAACCAGCATATTTGGATATTCATTAGTTTTTTAGTTCACAACTTTAGACGCGACGCAACTAAATACGCACTCTTTGACGACTGACGTACTTGGAATGGTTTGAAATCTGAAGGAATAATCATTTCACTCGTATATTTTGCCTATGTTATGGCAATATCTGTTGATCACTTTTTTGTAAATTTAAAGTTACTGTTTCAAATTTTCGATAGTACTAGTAAACAAACTTGACATTTCTTACATTTTTTGTAGTAAATGCTTTCACAATATTCAAGTTATTCATCAAACTTGATTGTAACACAATCATATAATTTTAATATAATCATTAATCATCTAAATTCAATTAAACATCCTTATTTGACCCTCTCAGATTTAGAATTCTCGTTACATTACTAACCGGTTTTTCACTATCATTTTTAAATAAATCTGACACCAGATTTCCTAACTATTAAGAAGTCAACTACACAAATTAATGTTCTAGTGTAGTGAACAAGAACACGAACGGGAATAATCGAATGTATTTGAATATAGAATTACAGAACATCTTAGTAAAATCTGAAAATCATTCAGTAAATACTTCATTTGTAAAGTGTCAATCAATGGTCCCAGACTTCATTGTTCTTTCGTTTCCATACCAATCATTGTTTGTTCTCGTTCTCTTTTCTTTGATTTTCTGCCTCCAGGCATTTCACTTTCGATTAATGATACATACTACCTATATCTGTCGACATCAGTAGCACACACCACACTAAGATACCCCGATTATTTAGGGAGCTTATATTTGAGTGCAATTATTTTTATAATTCTTTAGCCGTTAACTAACTCTTATTTAATATTATTGTATGTTAATGATGATAAATATATCTTAGATTGTTATCTTAACAATTTAAACTCTATCCACCTTTGATATTTCTCGGACTTTTTTTAGAAGAATAATGAGATAACAGTATTTATTGTGGATCGGTCATCGGATGGTATTGAATGTGGGCCATTATTGGATACTTTTGGTGCACGTGGATCAAATGGTATATATATATATATATATATATATATATATATATATATAACTTATTTTATAGAGCATGTTTAATAGAAAGTGAAGCATGCCTTTGTGAATTTCTTACTTAAAGGGATGTTTAAAAAGATTTTTAAAAATGTAAAACTATCTCTTTTTTAACTAAGTGCTCTTGTAAGCTGAAAATAGTTAGACAACAAAAGGTTTAGGATAAAAATTTATTAGAAACTTGATACCACAATTGTTCTTTACAGATTATAGAACTACACCCAACCCTAGTGTCCCAGACAGAAAGTCATCTCCCAAAGTTGTGTTTTGAAGAAGTATTCGAAGTATATTTAACGGCCATGTCGCCACCTAAAGCAGTAGGTGTGTGCAGACAAAATCAATGGGAACCTTGGGTTATTGGAAAGAGAATGAGAAACGCTTCGTACAAAGTGCGTGGGACGTTCGGAACGTGAATCAGACACATCAACCGAATCCATGGAGAAAAAAGAACACGTTAGATATACAAGTGAAATAAACACAGATACCCCAGTAATAGGAACTTCCAAGGGCATAATAGAGAACAACAGGATGAAATTTCGGAGTCGGAGGACACCGAGAAATACGGAACGCTGCCGCAGATCAGCTGTCAAGTTACAAGTGAACCCCAGCAGAAAATCTTATTCCAGGGAGATGTTGGGATGGCTTCGAAATTCTCAACAAGGCCTCCAGAGGCTCTTAAGAAGCCAATGAGATTCCATCTAATCAGAACCTAATAGAGCTTTCTAGAGTATCAACGTGGTATGCTACGATTGAACAAGAGCATGACTTGCATCCTTTCAAATTAGATGGATTATAATGATGCTATAGCCAGTACTAATAACCCATGTTTTCTGTACATTTTTGATTCTTACCCAGTGATCACTTCCCTTGCTTCTTCTGTCTTCTGATTTACGACTGCTGAGTTCTACATTTTCGAATGCCGTTAGATGTATATCATATTCTGCTGTTATTACATGCAGGTTGTAAGACTGACAATGCGAATACAGTATTTAAGTCATATTCGGAATGATTTCTATTTAGCTTTCACTTTGTTCAGTCTGTTTTTATATTCATGGATGAATGTATATTTAATCGTTAAAATAAACTTTATGATAGAACTACATTAAATCAACAGTAGATTGCTAATATTAGAAAATGGTGTTTTATAAACAATATTTAAGTGCAACAATTTAAATGAAGCTCAGGATCTAGAGATAAATAAAGAATGAATTATTCTTCGCCATTGATAGGTTCTGAGTCACGTTGCCTAACACATCCAACTGTTAATCTCAGTTGTCGTGCATACTCCAAGTAATCTTTATACATTATGTCTAGTCATAAATGTTGAAAAAGTCAACTGTTTGTAAGAACAATTACCTTGAAAATTTTTAAAATCTGTTTTATTGATAGAATTTTCTATCAAATAGTTTGTTCTATTATATTTACTTTCGTTAAGCGACTGATGTCTTTTTCAAGAATGTGAAAGTTCCTAAGAACAATTTATTGGGTAAACATGGTGATGGGTTTAAAGTAAGTTTAAATCATTTCATTAAGTAGTTCTTGAAACTTAATTAATCTATTTAGTGTCTTTATTAGAATTTTAAACACCACTTAGCAATTGATTTGTTTTAACTCGCAACACTTCGTTAGTCCACGCTCTTAACCCATTTAAAGGCTGATTACGCGGTAAAAAGTGGATCATTCTAGATTGAGCGAAAAACCGTTCATTAGTCAACATTTCTCTTCAAAACTTGAGATATTTGCATTATGTGAGCTTATTTTAAAACGTCTCAGTTTCTCGATAGTAACTTGCTAAAAGGAAAAACATTTATTCCGGTGGACAAAATATTACTTACTACAGAATAATAACTTCTAGTTGTAAACTGAATTTTAGCAACTTATTAAGTATAGTGAAAAATATTCTCAACGACCTTGGGTACACATAAATCACTCATTATTAAATAGTACGTAAGTGTATTTACTGATTTAATAAAAATCCTCTTATTTCATCCATTATTCGAAAAAGTAATGAGGTTAAATAACCAAGAACAGGAGATTCTCATGTTCTGTTTTGTCACTATAAAAAAAATAATTTCGGTCTTCTGTTATTCTAAATCGATATGAAGCTAGGTATTTTTATTGAGATAGTTTTGTTTTAACTGAATTCAGTTGGATGGTAGTCGATAGGAAACCCTTGACCTAGGTTTCGTGCCATTAATTACTCGTCAGTGAAAGGTACTTATAATTTTGTTGGAAAAATTGTTCCCTAGTAGTAGTTCGGATCATAATATATCAAAAGTTGACTGAAAATGGATATATACATATATACCACTGTATCTCAGTTCAAAGTTCAGAACTGTTCTGTTTTTTGTTGAACTTTGATATTCTGGCTCTAACTCCGTGCACAAAGTTGTGAATGCTCACTGCGAAGAAGTTCCAGACTGATACTAAGTAGATGTATCTAGCTTTTCCTTGTTTTTCAATAGTTCTCAAGTTGAAGTTAGTCAGTGCCTAAAATTAATGTTAGAGTAATTTTAGTATTAATTAACTGTCTATCTTTTCTCCCTTCAAAGTATCTTATCATTAAAGCTACTTAGAATCAGTCAGTTATTAACAATGTGACTGGCACAGGCGTATATCGGCTGAAGTTGACACAACTTACATTAGTGAAATAAGAGATGAAATTAACAACCTGGAATGCCAGGTAAAAAATACCATCTTCAATGTAAGATTATACATGGGAATCACATTATTCAAAAGAATTGAAAATGATCGAAAAATAATAGTTTAAAATGACTTAATGTTAAGAAAAGTGGCAAATAGTTAGCCATTCATTATGTAGATCGATTGGAGAAATTACTGCTTACACTAAAATTCAAGTTCAGGTTATTTTGTTTTATTGTAACAAGTGAAATGAATCAGTTTTGTTTAAGACTAGATCATCTTATATCAGGTATTTAACATTATGTAATTATTAAGTGTCATAACTCTAACCGATGATTTTGAATACCCTCTACTGATTAGTTTAGTGTGTTGTTTGCCAAGTAGCCTTATAAGACTCAGCATCACGATATACTATGTTTGGGGTTGACATATCAGATAAGACGTTATTAACGAAAGTCCTATCCTAATTTAATGAATTCAATCATCATTGAAACTCTGCAGGTACGCCCTACTAACAAGTCCTAACTAGCAGGAAACCTAAGTTAAGTTTCTCATCAACTACCTACAATCACTTAACACTGAAAGTTAAAGCTCTGCACTGGCTATTCCTTAACCAATAGTAAATCCTGTTTATTTCTGTTTGTTTTCAAACATTGTTTTGAAATTTCTACATTTTTTTTACCAACAATTAAACTGAGTAACTTATTTATTCCCTTCATTTTATTAGACAGCTCAAAATGTTTTAATTCTTCATCGTTTGAATACTGTAGCCTCTGGTGTTGGTGTACTACGTTATCTTCTTTCATATACTGCTGAACATTGTTTACAACGTCATCAATTTGGAAAACCAATTGGTGATTATTCTAGAGTAGAAGAAAAATTATCTGAAATTGTTTTAAATCTTTATGCAATGGAATCAGGATTATTTTATTTTAGCGGTTTACTAGATGCGCAACCGTCACGTAATCTTTCCTTAGAATTAGCTGCTTTAAAAGTAAGATTTTTCCCTCGTGGATATTTCTTCTTCTGGTAAATTATCACGTCCTTTTCTATTTTTAATATACATTTTGAGCAGTTTTACAAATAAGAAAATTGAACGACGTCATTTTTTTGCCAAGAATTTTATTTATGACCCTGAAGTTAAACAGGAAGTTATGTCATATTTGTTTAAACTGGTAATTTGTACAGGAATTCTAAGAGATATAGATGTAATATAACTTGCACAAACCGTGTTGCTGTTGTAATGTTTTATAGTAGTCTTCTGGAAGGCTTGTTTTCTGTAGCTTTATCCCAGCAGTTATGTGGCGCATATGTATTTGGTGTCACCTTGCACCGATGTTTATGTGTTCAAATCAATAAAAATAGCGGTTGAATAACATTAAGAAGAGCAAGAATGCACAATACTTAATGATTGTTGTTTTCTAAAACAGTTTCAAGAATATAAAAATTTATGTGTTTTACAGATCATTGATAATTATCTTTGATATAATTCAGCTGAAGAGTATTGTTCAGTAAATAATCGTTTCACATATCTTATTTCTCTGAAATTCTTGTCATCAGTATAAACGCACAAATAGGTTCATGAATTGTATACTTTAAATTATTTATGAGAGAGATATAGATAATGTTATGTCCTAACAAGGAATAAATGAATGGTAACTTTTAGGAATTAATTATGGACTATTATTACATATATTGTTATTGTATAACATTCCTTTTATTATAAGCTTCCATCTGACCTATTGACTACTATTATACGACTTACTATTCTTTAAATTTTCCGGTTTTATTAGTTACAATCTCTCACACCCATAGTCACTTTTGGCTTGATCTTGTATAATTGTTATTTTGTATTTCATGGTATGATGCCGTCTGATTTGCTTGTATATAAACCAAGCATGCCTGAAATATATGGTTCATACAGTGGTAGCTGAGATTTGTGTTCTGAATTTAAATGGTCAAGACTAGGCAAGAAGAACCAATACGGACTCAGAATTGACTCTAGGCTGCTCGTACTGGTCAGCATGTCGTTGATTTGGCACAGGGTCAAGGTCGTGTAACTCGTATTCTAATTAGCGATTGAACCACGTGATATATCCAAGAAGTACTGGACAACTGTTTTGTCCTAGTATGATGGTCCTTAATACTGCACATCCAAGACCCTAACCCAAAAGTTTTAGGTGCAACTGTGGGTGCTTAAACCACTGGGCCGGGGTTATATGGTTTAGATGTCTGACTGTAATCAATCCATAATATCGTACAATCATCTTCAAATTATATTTCTGGGTAACTCTCATATCCGACTTGGTTGAGTTCCACTAATCAAGACTTCTCATCATCAGTCTTCTATAATTCTGATCATTTAAATTATTTAGATTCAAATATATGATCATTTTGTTAACTGTGCGGTGAATCGCTAGCAAAACACTTCTTTTATTCATTATTATTACACATATTATGATTACATTGAAAACTTACTTATTTTGTATTGAATATTATTGTAAAGCAGTATAAAATTATCTGGATCGAGTTAATAAATTAAAGATTCCTTTTTGATACTGACTGACTTTGACTAAATAACCGTAGAAAACCAGGAAACATTAGACAACGGTCTCTTCTTAGCATCAGACTTTTTAAGAATCCACGCTTACAACCAAGCTAGGGATTGGGATGAGGACTTTGGTTCCTTACAGCGAATATGTTATTTGTAGAACGTATCGTTCGCGCCCAGGTGTATACATTTCCAGTTGAGGTTTATTCGCCATATTGTGTGGTCATCTCTCATTCTTATCGGTTATACGTAGATACGTGCAGTATCAAAGTGTCCCATACGAAGACAAGTTAACGGTACTCGATGTGCACTACAATTTTACATATCTTTAGAAAATGTTATGTTAATCTATTCTGTTTATGTTAAGGATTCATATTAGCTTTGTATTTTATAATTTATCTGTCTTCATTCATCGTTATTTTGTTTAATTTATCCTATCTAGTTGTATAGTAGATAAAGTTGTTAGTTTTTACATTTTTATTATGAAACGGTTTTTTAATCTAAACCTGTATTATGGTTACTGAGATTTCGGTTTTCGTAGCTAGTGTTGTAATGAACGAGAAGTCAGGCGAGCACAACCGATTTATTATTTCGTACAAAATCATAGAATATCGTAAAGTATGAGATCCATACTTTAAATGCTTCATTCGTAAATCTTCCATCAATTATCCTTTACATTCTGTCTAGTTCTTCCAATTCACAATTCATTTCTATTCCCCTTCTGTTTTCTTCAATTCGATCTTCTTAAACTTCTGCTGCTAGCCATTTAACTTCTCATTGGTGTTACATACTACTTATGTCTGTCAACATATGTAGCATACACTACATTGTATTTAAAACATAAAAAGAATTTCTTTTTAATTTCCAATGTAATCAGTCTATTTATTTTATATTTGCACTGCTTTAATTCTCTAGAGTGACATTTTGTTTGAAATTTCCCCCTCTTCCGTACCTTTATGTTCATTTATTTATTGATTAAAATTCTTAGATTTTTAGTTCGGAAAAAGTATGGTCAGGCATTGATACATGTATTCAACTAGCTGGACGTTTCGGTCTACTTAAAAATGTCCCATATGAACGATTTCTACGAGATGCTAGAAATCATCTTACCAGTATGGTAAGTTTTTAATCAGATTTTCTGGCGTTTTATTTTATAGATGGATTTGATTCAAATCTCGTTATAAATACTTCTCAAAATAACCCTATCCAGTGTTTTCGATATTTACGGTCTCGCTGGTATTTGGACCGGTGATACGATAATTTATAACTTTTGTTTCAGAATAGATACTTGGCAATTTGTCTAAACTTACTAATTATAGTGTTATATATATATATATATATATATATATATATATATATATATATATATATATATATATATATATATATATATATATATATATATATATATATATATACCCTACGAATAATCATGTTTTTGTTAGAGATCTGGTACATTATATTATGACGCACGGTATCCGAGTCTGATACTAATACACAAAAAACCAATGTCCAAGCTCCAACCGACTACTGAGTAAAAAGGAGGAAGTTTATTGATCTAAACCGAATCATGCGTATAAGCAAACATCATATATATGTCTTGAAAAATAAAATAATTTCTTGCCCAGTAACACACTTATTGATTATAAATTTCCGATTGTTAACATATGCCCTTCTTCTTTAACGACTTTTGATTAACTCACTGTATCATATTATATGATATTATTTGAAATAGAACTCGGTATATTGGTCACTATTTATTTTCTTTCTTTAAATTTTTGCCGTTGAACATAAGAGTAGAGTTTTAAAGATTTTTTAAAATTTGCTCTTGATTATGGTCAGGTTTTAACGCAAGAACTATTGAACATTGCTTGAATTATTATACATGAAGTTTTATAGTTTATAATCATTTGGTAAAACTTCTTATTTAATAGGAATCAAATGATATCTTACGTATTATGATAGCTGGTGAAGGTATAACTGAAATTATTCCTGGCTTTGAAAAAACAATCTCTGATTTAAGTGTTTTTACTCGACATCCAATAACTAATATAAAAACTAAATGGTTATTAAAAAGAAGAAAGCAAGGAAAGTATGCTGCTCAAGCTGGTTCTGGTCCGAAAGTAACTGAGGGTAATGCTTCACGTGATTTAAAAGATCATTTGCATCCTAGCTTTGCTGATATGGCAACTCGACTTGCCATAAATACACAACGATTTCAAAGTTTATGCCAAATTTCCCTTATTCAATATGGCCGAGTAAGTCAATTATTATTACTAAAATACTGTTGTCTACAAACTACATAGTTGATAAGCTTATTAAATTCATTGAAAATAGTAATCAAAAATATACATGATACATATTGGATTATTAAAATGAATCGAATATACGTTTCTTTTGTTTTGTTTTCATTACATTCGTGTGATAAATTAGTTTATCGATATCAGTTGGCTATCTAAACTAAACATTTTCATCAAACATTGGAATAGATGCTTCATTTGAGCTACACTTGAAGTGTGAGGGCTAGTGATGTTGTTCGGCTATCCAGACCAAAGTAGGTGCATTGAGGTTCAAACCTGTGACTTAGCGGCTAAAAGTTCAACGGTTTAACCACTAAGCCGTCCACCGTTCAACAGTGGAATAGATAGTGATATACAGAGTACTGTTTTTAAACGATTGCAGAATCATTCAAGATTATTCATCTGTCAGAATAAAAAGTCGCTTATTTTCTATTCTTGTTGTTGATTGGACACCAAAATAATTATGCACCAAACAGATGAGAATACGAAGTCGTGAAAACATAGAGGAGGAAAGAGGGTGGTGCATGCTTGAACTCAAATAAGGGAATTGAAATAAATGAAGTAAGATGGTTTATAATAGAAGATACAGTTCAGTTAGAAATACAACTGGAAAGATTTTTTCCAGTCAAGGGAGTTACTCTTGTTTTTACGAAAAATGTAAAAGAAAACTACATCAAGTTCAACACTGACTCCTATTCTCACCTATGTTTGATGGCTTCTCAATCGAGTGATTTGCACTATCTCTCTAACCATATCCAGACAGATTTCAGTCATATACAGTTTCTGTTCACTCCTCGACACGGCTTCCTAATCTGACCACCTCTTTACTTTTCCCACTCACTCCCCATCGTTGGTGAATAATGCGAGGTGCGCAAGCCACTGGGATGAAACTCCTAAATTATTCATCAAAACGAAAGAAATAGTCGTGCGGTTGTGCTATAACCAAATCTTGTAGGATGATTGATTAGTAGTGTATAGAAGATGACGAAATTCAGAGTTCCCCATACTTTATGATATGGTCGACAGTTGGTCATTATACGACACATTTTTTATAAATTATCCTTTGTCACTATTCATGTTGTAATAATTTTCATCATTTTATCAGTGAGTAGTCTGGTGTATGTTTGACATATTCTTGGTGCTATCTGTCGATTACCAACAAATCAATACTAAGTTTCTTCAAGTTCATATATTCAATACCAATTATTATTTTTTCGATTGATCCCTTAGGAATTTTAATCATTCTTATTTCATTTGTAGGAGATTACAAATGAGCAAATGTTATTATGTCAGTTAGCAGATGCTGCAATTGATCTCTTATTAACGTCTATTTGTTTTGGTCGGGCCTCTAGATCAATAAGCATTGGTTTACCTCGTAATGATTATGAGGTGAGTTTACTTTCCATACTTTTAATACAAATGATTGATTGGATAAAATAGAAAAACAGAAGTTGAATGAATGATTAGCATAGTAGCATATTGTGAGTTTTGTTTGATTAGTTAATATAATATTTCAAATTTGTTTTCGCCATCTAATTGAAATCATTTATCAAATGTACATATTATCAGCTATAAGTCGATTTACTGCTTCATTGTCATTTCTCTCATTCTTTATTTATTTAATGTATGTTTTTGTACATTTAGGTTCGTGAACATTGTGCTTAAACTGTGTATTTATGATTAGTTGTTCTGTGGCGTGTGCTACTTATGTTGATATAAGTAGTATATAGCGCCAATCAGAAATAGGATGCCTGATAGTAGAAGGCTGAGATCGAAGAGGGAAGAATAGGAACAGAGAATAATTGGTATGGTAATGTAGGGACAATAAAGTCTGAGACAATTAATGAATATTTTGGGAATGAAGTGTAGTTTTTACATTTTACCAAATAACTAATTTTGTGTCAATATATATATATATATATATATATATATATATATATATATATATATATATATATATGGAGAGAGAGAGTTTACTTATTCCATTGTTGGCTGGACAAACTCTTACTGTAGTTGTACTAATACTTTGTTTTAACAGCTTGGCGTCTTTATTAGTCAGATCCCTTACATCAATTATCAATTTATATTATTTTTCCATTCCATTAAATCGTTCAATATGATTTTATTTTTTCTACTTTTCTCTCTTCTATTACAGAAAACTTTGGCACATACGTTTTCTAGACTAGCACTTCGACGTGTTGAACATATTATAGAATATAAGTTTGAAATCGATCGTTACCAACATCGTGTCGCTAGCGAATTACTGACACAGCGTTTCTATCCTGTATCTCATCCACTTGCACGTGTATGGTAAATTATGATGATTTTTTATCTCTTGTTAATAAATCTAAAATTCAACTCCCTATAAAGGATTCTTATTGGTGAAATATTATTGAAGGGGTCTATATATATTCTACCATTATTAACCTGCCATATGTTTGCTACAAGTTGGTATAAACTAAATTATTTATCTGATTGCGTGTCTTGGTGTTTCGGAACATTATTGTAGCAGTCATCTTCTTTTCTTTTGATTTTATCTAGCACAAGTGATAGCAAGATAAATTGAAAGTTTGGCGTTGATATGTTTAACAGGAGTCTATACGATAATACGTAAAGAAGCCAGCTATAGAATTAAGCACCGTTAAGCAATCAACAGAGTTGTTGTATATGTGGAGATAGATGGGTTTGAAGATTTTGTTTCATGTGCAATTGCTAAGTTGTGTGTATATTCCACTCTCTCACAACATTTATTAAGTAGCCAACTTATGTATAAAAAATGTAATGTATTACTATTAGAGAGTAAAGTCAATGTAGTGGTGCTACAGTTGCCTATCGTTTGACTGCAGTTGATTTTTGCTGGTATTCATACAGCCTTTATTTGGTAGTATGACTCCAATTCATTTAGTAATAAAATATCGTTTATAAACAAGCAAATTCGATTGAGCTTGAAGTTTACAACGACACATGTCTTCCGTGTCATTGAGGTTATTGTTCACGTCAATGACTCATGACACTTGACTGCAAAGTTAAAGATTATAGCTGACAGGCGATATCATGCTGTCTGGTTCCCACAGTCAATCATTTGTCTGATTACATAATTCATATTTGATGGGTAAACATAATGTGAGTTGGAATCAGTGTCTTCTGTCTGATGAAGACTAGGTTCTCTGTTACCCGAAAATATAATCAGAAACACTATGACTCGGATGTCCAGGCGACATTCAGTGATCAGTTGAAATAAAGCATTTTTCAGGCTATTCAGTACGTCACCAATCATCTGTCAAAACCATCTCAAACTTACTCATGTTTCTAAGTTTTCATGAATTATTCTCGTTTAATATATGCAATACTAATAGTGCTCTGTGGCATAGGGCGCCCAAACTACACAAAAAACAATAGACAGATATTATTAAAAAGCGTGGGTCAAACAATACGTTTCTTGGAATCTGCGATTGTTTGAGAGAAGCCGTAAGGAACTAGTTTAATCTTATAGTACAGCTATGATAATTAGAAGTATTCGAATTAATGTGCTAACTAAGAATTCTCGAAGTGGTGCAATCAGGTAGGTAGGACCAGATGTATGATGTTTGAAGTTCGTAATCAGCGGGCAGTCAAATATAAAGGGGTCGTTAGTTTACACAGATACTACGGCAGAAAAATACCTTAAGTCGGGTGTGGACATAGTTCCCGTCTTAATCTTATGTGGACTGGTTATTTTCATACGAACACGTGAATACCAAACGCTTTCTACTTTCCTGTGGTTCTTCATGTAGTTTCTATTTTTCTAGTTGATGACTCCATCATAACAAAGGAAACGTAGTGGTGAACATAAAAAATAGCACACTTAAACCCCATAGACTTCCGTCTTTGTCTTTTAGTAACCCTATATCTGACACCAGTTATATCATATGGTTGATTGTTATCAAAATATATCGTCAATCCTTGTATATTATTGTCGACTCAAATCGTCTTAGTGAATAAGACATGTAAGTCAGTCCAACTTAACCATGCGTGAAACAGTATTTTTAGCCACGCAAAAATAAGTTACAGACATGTGATAAATAAGATAAGTAGTGAACATATAGACTCATACAAAAAGAGTCAAAGTTGGCAAGTGAATGATTAGCACGGTTAAAATGTGGCTCAAGTAGAACGAATAGATTGACTTTACCGCAAACTACAATAAGTTATATGAGCTCAAGTAGCACTACAGTCTATAAAGTATAAAAAGCAAAACAGCTTTGAAAACTGGACGAAAAATACCGTATGGAACTGCTGTTAAGTGGCTGTTTCTTGGGTATTGCTTTTGTTATCGCAAGCTGTCAATATTACTACTAACTCAGTTTTTTTGTGGTGTCTTAACAGAAATTACATCTCGATCCGATCGGTCAGGGAATGTCTTTCTCCCGCGTATCCTTTCATGCACTCTAGATCGCTGTTCGTAGTCATTCATGTTCTGTTCGTGTAAACGGAAAATCAAGAACACGGGAGGGTATAGATATTCACGGTTACATTCTGACCGTCTGTGCCTATATTCTCTCTAGTTGCACTACTGATAAATTAGTCGGGTCTTGCGGGAAGTCTTTTGACTTCTTAGGGAAAGTAATTGTTCAGATGTATTATTGGATGTAAGTGATTTTAATACTTTTTATATGAATGTACTTTTTTCCTCTGGACCAGCTACATGCTTAACTCGATCAACTTTGAGGACAGAGAGATTACTAATCGTCTAGTGATTTAGTTGCGATAAACCTGTTTAACTTTGTGCACTGCTCAGCAAGCGAACCTTCTATTGTTATATTTTTAAGTTATCAATGGGGGAGTATAGGAATACTTAAATACTAAATCTAACTGCTTACTTCATCAGGCATATTCAGATAACCATTTTGGGATGGCTTTATAATCGTATCCAATGTTTGGGGACATTAAGGTTACACAGTCCAGAATCTATTAAAAAGATACGGGTGGACTCACCCTTACAAAGTGATCATATAAAATGTCTTCCTTATGAAATATGTTGAGAATCTGGTGACTAACAGCTTTCAAATGTGAAAGTCTTAGTAAACATTCATCACTGACATTGATCTTGATATACTTATTGACCACTACTGAGTAAATGCAGTTTGGCAGGCATCATTACATTTACATGCGGTAGCCGTACATGACATTTGTCTATTTCTCAACTAATGCTATGCTTTGTATAAGCTTTCCCTTCAATATTTACATTTTTGATTTGTGGTCGGAATAACTTCTGTCAGCCATCTAGCGATTTGTGTTGTTAGATTCTATATTATCCCAAGAGTAATTAGGAAGGTCATCCAAATGCTGGCTGAACTGAGAATATATCACTTTCAGACTGCAGAACCTGTCAGATATTGTATCGTCTAGATTGTACATCATTCATCGATCAAGAGAGGGATAACAGTAAATATTAATCACATATCATATTTGATAAGACTGTGGGGATTTTAAACTAATACGTTCCTTGATTTTTGCAACTTAGGAGTATCCAAATGTTTGTCTGTCAAACGCTGACAAACAGAGAGAGATTTGTGAGACTACTGTAAGAGCATGTGCTACATTAAGTTGTACATTTATTTTTAACTGGATGAAGTATCATAGTAAATGATATATTGTTGCAAATTGTTTTGACGACCTTAATATTAAACGCGAAGGTGCCAACGGCATTTGGTGTTTGACAACTCGTTTACACGTAACAAGTTTCTAATCTAACCATACCGATCCAGTCTAATCAGATGTCATAAATAAAACGATTGGCATATTTTTAATTTCAATAGTTGAATTCATGAGTCAATTGAAGCTAGACCACCATGAAAAAAGATGGAGGCACTGGACGGCAGTTTCATCCTAGTATGGGACTCCTCAGCAGTGCGCATCCACGATCTCGCCCCCTGCGGGATTCGAACTCAGGACCTATCAGTCTCATGCCAGGTGCTTAACCAACTAGACCACTGAGCAGACATCCAACGGTGTTAATATCTAACTTCAACCAATCCACGAAGTTGCGCCACCGTCACCATTGCCTTCAGTGATTCATAATTGTAAATCCATCGATTTGTTATGAAGCGTTTGATCTAAGCTGGATAGTAGTTTCCAGGTATACATAGTGCAGCGCATACAGTGGTTCTCTGGCGCAAATGAGTTACCAAGTGCCTAACTAGTATGGTTAGTGAAATTAATGCGGTTAGGAACAATTTCAAAGACACATAGACCTATATATTTTGAGGATTTCCTTGCCGCAAGAAACTTTTGCACGAGACAGTGAATGTCAAATTAGTAAACGGTTTTGTAGAAAACATCCAAGTACAAAATTTCTACCACCAAATTTCCGTTCGTTGACATGTTGAAAAAAGTTTTTTACTAAATAGCATGGAAGAATGATCTATTAAAATGTACAGCCAACTTCAGAAGATGAATTGTAGGGAAGATTACTGATGTAGATTACTTGTGTCGTGTGATTCGCTGCCTACTCGAGTTAGATGGGAATAGTATGATGAACCCCTTACATTGAAGTCCTACCTCCTGATCGGACTTTAATGTGGATTGCTCTTACGTCGTATCAAGACACTATTACTTCTTTAAGTTCGCCTAGCACAAATTACGTTATTACGGAATCATATTAGTGAGAGTAGACACACCCAAGACAGTGGGCCAGTCCATAGAGCCCGATAAATCCATGTGCTTCGTTTGCCCTTGACCTTTATGAACTGTTTGACACTTAGTCACTCAACGACCAGATAAATTGTCTAGGGTCCAATGATGTTTCACGTGCTAAGTAGTCTAAACACTTTCTCTGTTCAAATATTTTAACATCATTATCGTAAAATCTAAGCTGGCAATTACCAATTGATAGTTAAAGTCCATTTGTAAACTTATAAATATATCATGATATGAGCTGTTAAAATTACAGTAGACATGAAACTTATTTGTTGAGAGCTCATGTTTGTACTCTCAAGTATTCTGTGTTTTTAAAGTCGCGTATCTTGGTAACAAATTAATTTATCTTCAAAACTTGTTTTGTTGTTCAAAGGAGACTATTTGTTTAAATAATGTAATTAAGTGCGATGTCATAGTAATTTGTCGCCTGTGAACTTTTAGATAGTCATTATGGACTCCTCAGACCTACATCTTGCGATTGATTATGTTGGATCATGTGGTATTGTTTTGACACCTGAACAGAAAGCCACGCTCAACACAACATTGACTATTTTGAAGCACGAGAATAAGTTCTCGTATGTGTCGTTTTGGGGTATAATTCGAGGAATCAATGGAGACTATTTCATTGCTCAAGGAATAGGTAAAGATGTATTAAAAGAAAAAACAAATCTGTACAGGTATACAATTAGTAATTTAGGTAAACGCTTTATTTTAGTAAAGACTGCACTACATGGGGGTTGTTGCCAGTACCAGGGAAACAAGACATAGAAAAAAGCAAACTTTTCAAAATGAGACTAACAGGTGATCCTTCACACGAAGCTGAATACGTTGAGGTGAAACAATTGCCAGGAGAAGGTGATGAGCTTGTTGAAACTGAAGAACTTGTAATCTCTGTTTGATTAACGATTGGTATATGAACTAGATAACCATGAAAGAAGAAGATAGACTTGCTGCTATTATTTACCGCATAGAAGAGGAAGTTGTTATTGTTCCGCGTGGTGCACTTATACGAATGTACAGCGGACAAGTTGTGAGAAACAAATCTTTCGAAGGTACATCGATGCAATTACTCATAGAAACATAGGTTTGACTTGTGCTGAGGCTTCAAAGCTATTATCATACTTCCATTGTCGGCCTCCTGTATATATGTCTAACAAACCATTAACCGAAAGAGCAAAGCTTGATAAGGCCATCGACTTTTTAGATACTATTGAGGATGATAACCCTGAAGGTGAGAATCTTTTTTATTAAGACTAGATATTTCTCTACATTCACTTTTGGATGTGAGAAAGGTAATATACATAAGGTTCTAACATTTAATTCATAACCTAGTGTAATAATAGCCGTTATTGCGTGCTCATTAGCTGGTGATCATAAGATTATTTTTCATAGATTAATAATAAACAATATTCTCTTTTTCGATTACATTCGGAAGAAAACCTTCAATTCATTAATATCCACATTATAGTTCATACTTATAAAAGCTTGTTAGCTGAATATAAGTTTTGGGCTGTAAACTAGTATCCCCGGTCATGTAGAGCCGGAACTTAAGTGTTCAAAGCGTGGTATGCAATTTAGAGAAGTGCACGGTCAGCGAAACAAAGACTTGTGCACAGATTTCTTGATTGTCAAGTTTAATTTTTGATTGCTTTCTATCACCTACAGGAAGTTTTGATTTTAAAACGTTCGTTTTTAAACGGTTTATGGGGTCTCTATAATCACTAGTGAATAGTGGTGAGCAAAAACATTAGGTTGACTTCCTTTCTAGAAACTTGTCTGTCGACAGAAACCGAGGGACATGAATGTCAAAGGATGCAGTTTCCTAAGTAAATAAACAATAGTTTCTTGGATGAATTTATATCCTTATTAACCCAAGATGTCGCTTCGCAACTGATCTATGTTAACGCTTATTCTGATCACAGTCAGTCATACACAACATAGAAACTGAAATATATGTATATCGATCCAAATTGTTACGATCTATTAGCAGTGAGACGAAATTGTTAGGGTTATTCCCAGAGATGCAGCATTATCAATAATAATAGGGAAGACTGAGGGTCGAAGATAAAACTCGTGAAAATATGAACTAGTAAAATAAAAACTCATAAAATGATTTAGTCTTGGGATCTAAGGGGAAACAAAGAGTGAACCTGCGCAGTTGTGGATGATTTTGAGCCATATCACTTAGTTACTAGCCGTTGGTTAACATAAACCAAGTGGACCCTAAGCAGATAGTCTGTGCTTTTCATTGAGTTTTTTTCTCTGGGTTGGATGGTTTAGTCGTGGGGCTTTCATCGTTCTTCTGAACGTCATCATCAGCACAAACTTCGGGTAGAAGAACAAAACTCCATCAAAACCATCCACCTAAGCTATAAATCTTCCCCACCATCTCAGATAGTCTGTGCATACCTACATTCGGACAAAAGTAGTCTGATGCCTTTGAAACACCACTTGTCTTAAATATCCTGTCAACCCTCATGTGTGATAAGTGAAATCTCGACAAGAATGTATTAAGAAATTTAGACTTCGACAGTATGTCTGCCAACCCAAGGCCGGGTTTACTAAGAGCCTTTCTAATTTATTTTAACCAATGAGTTTACAACATGTACTTCAAAGGAAAAACATATAGGGTATTTGTAAGTAGTGACAGATAGCTTTGAAGCATTACTTGTGTATGGTGGAACCAGTGAATAGGCATACGTAAAATGATAGGTAAAGATAAAGGGTCAGTTGACGGTGCTGTGTATCTTCACTGACTGACTGGACTAGAACATGTACTGGGTATCCACCTACCACATCCTTCAATGCCCAACGATAATCGGCTGAAGTTGGAGGAAAGCTAGAGACAATCAAATGAAGATCGTACACCCGTATATTAGGTCACTAACTGCTGATATAAACTTTGTGGATAGGTACAGGTTTCCAGGTTGGGACCACTGACATACATGTGTCAAACAGTCGGACAATTTAGATGACATGCTTCGAGGTGAAATACTATGGTGCTGACGTGTTCCTATTCCATCTTCTTTTAAACTATGATCATACCTTTTCATGTTTTCAGTCCATCAAGTAACAATCACTAGCTTTAGTTCCTTTAATTTTACGTTAGCTAATCCCCTCGACTGTTTCTAGGTGTTCTGCCGTGATGATAACTTTGGCCGATATATATTGTGTAGTGCAGTGAACATTTCGAGAGCTATGTCCTGGAAAATATTGTGTTGTGCAGATATATAAGGTCATGAAATAACAAATAAAGGTTCGCATATCTGATGAGATAAAGGCATGAATAACACAAGTTAAAAGAAAAAAGACTTTGTTAGGTGGTAATTTATATGATGCTAACGCAACTTCAGATCTATCCAACCGAAAACTAAAATAAAAATAGTGATAATGTAACCTTGAGACAGGTATAATGTTACTCAGGAACTAACCATAAGAAAGGGTACACTATATAAGTACGACACAGCATTTAAAAAAAACTGGAATGAGTCAATCGTATGTGCAGACACGATAAAAAAACGAAAACTTTTATGATGAATATGAGAATCTTTTTCATTAGGGCAGTTATTATCAGGTTAGCTTTTAAAACAGCTGAAAGTTTATAAATTACAGGGGATCATCCACACGTACGAGTTACTGACCAGTTGTCAGCCCATAGCAAGCGTATTTATGTACATACATTTTAATATACACGCAAATTTTACTTGTCGGGGTCGCGTACTTTACGATTGAATATTACAATGATTGCTGCTTGTGCACATTTAGACGAAAAATTTTCTATAAACTACCGCTTTACACTTTGAAAAGGTTGTTGGGTGATTCAATTTGAACGTGGAGGCAACCTTGTTTTGGTCAAAAGTCTTTTATGGATTGGATATGTTTTATATCATTTACCAGGTACAAACAAATATGGATCAATTTATGTTGGAACTGGTGAATATAATATTGATCTCCCATTTATGATATAATGCCAAAACTAAGTGAACTATACAAAGTATAAAATTTGATGTATTTTACAGAAACATTGAAATATTTGTATACAAATATTTCTAAAAGTTGACTGGAATGAAAAACTAGTTTGTGTATTTGTTTATTTGATTACTCTTGATGTATTTGGAGAAAAAAGAGGCCGGAAAGATCTAACAGATCAAAATATCACAGGAATATATTAGAAATACATTTGACGACCAGTAATTACTCTTTTGTTTCGGATGTGCATGAGAGTTTATCGATAAATGCTTGTCTATTTCTGCGAATTTCTTCAGCTGGTATTCGATTCGCATTATTTATGCCGTTTTGAGCTGTATTTTGACCGATAAAATTCGATTCATTAGCTAAGAACACAAAATTGTTAAAACAATTAGTTTGATAAATTTCACCAATGCAATGAGACGAAGATTATCAGAACTGTGATACTTTAACGTAATACGTTTCAGACAGTTTGATCACATATATACTTGTTAAGATATTCATACATGAAAATATTGAAAACCAATTAGGCGAATTGGAAGGTAAGAGAAAAGAAGGGTAATAAGGAAAAATGTAAAGCTCTACACTGGATAATAAGTCGATAGTATCAAATTAGGCTTCAAGTGGGAATAAACTATTTTTGAATACACAAAAACGGTTCGAAATTTGGTATGGTCAAAGCTTAAATCAACTTTACTATACACTACAACACTATAAAAGCTTATTTGATATCAACCCTACGACACATCTCACCCAAATGCTATAGAATAGAAGATGCTTGCCAGTCAGTTATGACGTAAGACCAGGCACATATATGCATCGGTCCACGTTGCCATACCTCATTAGTACAAGATGAACACCGAATTCATAGTAGTTACTTCGATGGTAGTAATATATAAAACAATGCATATAAGGATCTAATACAGGAAGAAAGAATTATTTTGTAGAAAGAAAGGAATAAAGTGTGTATAAAGAGTTTATACGCCTACAAAACTGTGGTCGATTCTGAGCCATGTCACCCAGTCTCTAACCGTCGGTTACGATAGTCACATGGACCCCAACCAGGCAGTCTGCATCTACCAACATGACTCAGACTAGAAGTACCTGCTTCGGTTTGGGCACCCGGGCAGTATCCCAGCCTACGCACTAAAATATGATGAACTATTTACTTATGGAAAACATTCTTTTCGCTCCGAATTACACTGAAATGACTCGCACCATTATTATTATTATTTACCAGGTTATCTATTCACCCTCTCTTTTATTTCCACTCTGTCCATCCTTATTTTTCAACTTATACAACAGCTCGCCTATGGTGAAAATTCGACTCTATCTAAACGCTCTCGAGTCACTGCCTGGTTGGAAATTGTATGTTACCATCGAATACGAGCACTGAAGCAGTTTTTCTGAAACCACGTACACCATTCAAACTGGCTGGCTTCAACGTTCGCACACTTATGCAGGTCGGACAACAGATAGGTCTGACTATGTCTTTGGAAAGTCTTAATATTGATGTGTGTTGTCTATCCGAGACCCGTATTCAAGACTCTGGTGAAGTACTACAAGTTCGCTCTCCATCTGTCGCTTCAAAAAGCTTGTTTTACGTGCGTTTATCCGGGGACTCTGTGGCATCTTCGTCTGGTCTTGCTGGCGTTGGTGTCGCACTAAGCGCTAGAGCTGAGGCAGCACTAGTCGACTGGATCCCCATTAACAGTCGGTTATGTGCTGTTAGATTAGAAAGTTCCATCAAAGTGAGAAGAAATCGGCGTGAGAAACGATGTCTTTTCGTCATCTCCGCCTATGCCCCGACAGATTGCAGCCCGGATGCAATCAAGGATGAGTTCTACCACCAGTTAACTGTTCTTCTCCAGAAAGTGCGTTCGACAGATATTGTAGTACTAGCTGGAGACTTGAATGCTCTGGTCGGGCGTCTAGACACAGAAGAGACTCGTTTAGGTGGCCGATGGGGACTCGTTGGTCGCAGGACAGATAACGGGGAACGTCTACTGCAACTATGCACAGACCACAACCTGTTTCTGGCTAGCACTAACTTTCGGCACAGTCATCGCCGATGTGCCACCTGGCGTCCCCCTTCTGCATCTCAAGCCTGGACTCAGATTGATCACATTGCGATCAGCTACCAAATGAGGCGGAAGTCCGCAAGGAACTCCAACTCTTGAAACGTTACAAATCACCGGGCCCAGACGACTTACCTCCGGCTCTTTTTAAAGATGGTGGTGACTTTGTGACTAAGGGACTGACGACGTGGTTTACAAAGGTCTGGGAACTAGAGTGTGTACCAACGTCATGGAATGAGTCGATAGTTGTCCCTATCTTTAAAACGGGTTCACGTCGTTCCTGTAACAACTATCGGGGGATAAGTCTACTTCCGATTGCGTCCAAGCTATTGGCTTCCGTCATACTTCGTAGGTTGTTCAAAACCCGAGAAGGATTGAGTCGCGAGGAGCAGACTGGGTTTCGTTCCGGTCGAGGATGTATTGATCATATCTTCACCCTCCGCCAAGTGTTAGAACACCGCCATACTTATCAAAGGCCAACAATCGTAGTGTTTCTTGATATCAGGGCTGCCTTCGATTCGTTGGACAGAACTGTTCTCTGGGATTGTCTATTGAAGAAGGGTGTGCCTGAGAAGTTTATTAACATCCTAAAAGCCCTATACACAAACACCTCAGGCAGAGTGAGGGCATACAACCACCTTTCTCCACTATTCCATTCGAGCAGTGGGGTTAGGACAGGGTTGCCGCAATCTCACCATTCCTCTTCAACTTTGCCATCGATGACATTCTGGAAACAGCTCTGACGGATGTAAGTAATGGTGGTGTGGATCTGTTGCCTGGAGAAAGACTTCTCGACCTTGAGTATGCGGATGATATTGTCTTACTGTGCGAGAATGCCCAA